GCACAGTTTTGTATGTGTGTGTGATGAAGTACAACACTTGAGTTCTGTGTGTCTTTATGAATGTGCCTCTAGAAAAACAATAGGAATATTTTCTGGCTTGCTCCAATAGAAAAACATGTTTAACCTTGACAAAAAACATGTCCATCCAAGATTGTCAGGTGTGTACGCAAACAGATAGGGAAAGACCATGGTATTAATCTGCATATCTTTTTTGTCTTTCCCACACCCTCCTTTACTTTGGCTCCTCTATCTCTTAGAAGGATCAATGTGGTTTTGTATGTCAAGTCTCTTCTCACAAATAGAATCTTATGCACTCTTTTTAATCTTCCAAGCATCATATGCAAACAATGCTGGGCATAAATGAATTAAGGTCACTAGAACTGAAGAAAGAATCAAAGGTAACCAATCTCATGTCTGCCAGGAGTTATGACAGCACCAATAACAAAACAGGCTGGGAAGGAAGTCAATTCAGGAAGGAAGGAAATATACATATATTTGAAATATATGTATATAAACAAAATCCGTTGCCGTCGAGTTGATTCTGACTCATAGCAACACTATATATTCCAAAAAGAGGTGATCCAACAGAATGTAGAAATTGTAGAACAATATTATTAATATTACACACAAGCAAAATTTTGCCAAGATAATTCAAAAGCAGTTGCAGCAGTACATCAACAGGGAACTGCCAGAAATTCAACCCAGACTCAGAAGAAGATGTGGAATGAGAGATATCATTGCTGATGTCAGATGGATCCTGGCTGAAAGCAGAGAGTACCAGAAGGATGTTTACCTGTGTTTTATTGACTATGCAAATGCGTTCGACTATGTGGATCATAACAAATTATGGATAACATTTCGAAGAATAGGAGTTCCAGAACACTTAATTGTGCTCATGAGGAACCTGGACTTAGACCAAGAGGCAGTCCTTCTAACAGAACAAGGGGATATTGCATGGTTTAAAAATTAGGAAAAGTATGTGTCAGGGTTGTATCCTTTCACCATACCTATTCAATCTGTATGCTGAGCAAATAATCCAAGAAGCTGGACTATATTAAGAAGAACACTGCATCAGGATGGGAGGATGACTTATTAACAACCCGTGATATGCAGAAGACACAACCTTGCTTGCTGAAAGCCAAGAGGACTTGAAAAACTTACTGATGAAGATCAAAGACTACAGCCTTCAGTATGGATTACACCAAACATAAAGAAAACAGAAATTCTCACGACTGGACCAATAAGCAACATCATGATAAATGGGAAAATACTGAAGTTTTCAAGGATTTGATTTTATTTGCATCCACAATCAATGACCATGGAAGTACCAGGCAAGAAATCAAATGAGGCATTGCATTGGGCAAATCTACTGCAAAAGACCTCTTTAAAGTGTTGAAAAGTAAGGATGTCACTTTGAGGACTAAGGTGCACCTGACCCAAGCTACAGTATTTTCAGTCACCTCATATGCATGTAAAGCTGGACAATGAATAAGGAAGACTGAAGAACTGATGCCTTTGAATTATGGTGTTGGCGAAGAATACTGAATATACCATGGACTGCCAAAAGAACGACCAAATCTGTCTTGGAAGAAGTACAACCAGAATGCTCCTTAGAAGCAAGGATGGTGAGAGTTTGTCTCACATACTTTGGACATGTTATCAAGAGGGACCAGTCCCCTGGAGAAGGACATTATGCTTGGTAAAGTAGAGGGTCAGTGAAAAAGAAGAAGGCCCTCATGGAGATGGATTGACACAATAGCTGCAACAATGGGCTCAAGCATAGCAATGATTGCGAGATGGCGCAAGACCAGGTAGTGTTTCTTTCTGTTCTACATAGGGTCACTGTGAGTTGGAACAGACTCAACGGCACCTAACAACAACAACATACACATGTGTGTGTGTATGTCTGTCTGTATATGTATATACATGTATATATGTATGTGTATACATACATAAACACATTATATACATGCATATGTATCTGTGTGTATAAATATATGTGTGTGTACACATACATATGCATATGTATATAACCAAAACTGTTGTCATCAAATCAATTCCAACTCATGGCCACCCCATGTGTGACAGAGTAGAACTGCTCTGTAGGAGGGCTTTCTTGGCTATAATCTTTATGGAATTAGATCACTGTACCTCCTTCTTTCTGTGGCATTACTGGGTGGGTCTGAACTGCTAGCCTTTAGGTTAGTAGTTGAGAGAAAACCATTTGTGCCACCAGGGACCCATACATATATATATATATATATATACACACACACACATATATACACACACAGAGCCCTGGTGGTGCAATGGTTAAGAGCTCAGCTTCTAACCAAAAGGTCGGCAGTTCTAATCCATCAGCTACTCCTTGGAAACCCTATGGGGCAGTTCTACTCAGTCCTATAGGGTCACTATGAGTCGGAACCGACTCAATGGCAATGGGGTTCTTTTTTTTAATATACACACACATACTATATATATATATACACATATATGTATATATACACACACACCTACTGTATACGTCTATACATATATATACACACTCTCACAGACACACATACACATCTGTAATTTTTACACATCACATATACTTGGAAAAAATGATCTATGATAAAGAATGAGACAAAATGTAATAGTTTTATTCTCTAGCTCAGGACTTGGGCTGCATCTAAGTCCCAGTTCTGTCGCCTTCCAGATGTGACCCCAGCTGCCCATATCGCTATGGGTCAGAATTGACTCAACCGCAAAGGGTTTGTTAACAGGTTTGGTACTGGCTTTCCTCCCTTCCTGTCTCATTCTCCCCACTTCCTCACTTGTGCTTCCTGGAATCACCTTAGACGTAAACAACCTGTAAAAAGTCCCTATCTTGAGGTCTACTTTTGGGGAACCCATATTAAGACAAATTCAAAAGTTCATGTTGTTGCTGCTACTGTTGTTATTGTTTTTAATTACACTATATTCCCACCCAAAATAATAATTACACTGGGAGTTTCTAATAGCTAACATTTTTCTACATTTGAAATTTGAGAGAAAAAAGACTTGTGTTCTATAGTGTACATTATTGCAAAAGAGTTCATTACAAACTTGCACATGGGATCAGTTAGAACTTGGAGATAACACTTTTAAGGCTTCAAACGGTGAAGATAATATTCTCAGCAAAGTAGCAAACTCTTCTCCTATTTCACTAAGTATCCATCTTGCCAGAAACAGACTTAATTTCAAAGCAGGGCGGTGATGGTTTTGAAGGGGCTCTATTCTAATGGGTGCAGATATAGACTCAGTTAGGGTTTTCTATCTATTAAACAATAGCTTTTCAGAATGTATCTAGAAAGTTAGATATTATTTAAAAAAACAGGATCCATCAATATGCTGTCTACAAGAGACACACCTTAGAAACAAAGATATAAATTTATTAAAAAGCAAATGTTGGGAAAAAATATATCAAGCAAACAACTACCAAAAAAGAGCAGGAGTGGCAATTCTAATCTCAGATAAAACAGACTTGAAAACATAATCCACCATAATAGAAAAAGAAGGACACTATATAATGAATAAGGGGACGATCCATCATGAAGACATAACCATAATAAACATCTATGGACCCTATGACAGGGCTCCAAAATTCATAAAACAAACTCTAACACAACTGAAAAGAGAAATTGACAGTTCCACAAGATTAATAGGAGACTTCAACACACCACTCTTGGTAAAGGACAGAACATCTAAAAAGAAACTCAGCAAAGATATAAGACACTTAAGGGCACAATTAGCCAACATGACCTCATAGACATATAGAACTCTCCACCCTACAGCTGCAAAGTACACTTTCCTTTCCAATGCACATGGAACGTTCTCCAGAACAGACCACATCATACAGCAATCTCCAACAAGATCCAAAATGCTGAGATAATTCAAAGTATCTTCTCTGACCACAACGCCATCAAGGTAGAAATTAACAACAGAAAGAGCAAGGAAAAAAATCAATTACATGGAAACTGAATAACACCCTGCTTACACA